CAGTAAACGCTTTTCTAATATTTTTCTGGTTAACAAGGAAAGCAAAAAGCTAATGTAATTGTTTAATTGCTTCAAGTGTTGGAGAAAGGATGTGTTGCGAATAGTTCCAAGAATATGTCTATGTATAATACTGAATAAATCTATTGAACATTTGTTTCCAACATCAATTAAATTATTTTTTATTTGATATTCTGCAAGTACATGGAGTTACCTTTATATCTTTTTTGTACAAACAAACACATTTCGTTAGCAACTTTCCATTTTATTATGAAAAATGGAAGAATAAGGAAGTAAGTGGGGTTCTCGCAGGAGTACGCCGAATATTATATTTCCAGAAAATTGGCGCATATTTCATGCAAAATGAAAAAAATTAAAAATTGCTGTCTTTTTTATTCTAATAATCTGGCCTAAACCTATCCATGGACCTCAACATTTGAAAAATGCAAACACTGATAAAAATTACAAGTACTTGGAGAAAATATTTAGAAAAATTAGCCGAATATTGCAAAAATTGTATTTTAAAAACGGCAAAAATGTGATCTCTCGACATTTGGCTTAATCGGTCCGTTTTATACGCTACCACTGGATGAAAAAAGTACATTTTGTTTGCAAAGCTGTTGTTCTTGCTTATCTGCTCGATGTTGGTTAAGATACTACAATGCACATGCCAGAATAAAGATGGTAATTATATAATAATATATGTTCATCTACATATTAAGTCAACAGCATGTAAAGCATTTTGAATACGCGCACTATCATGTACATATTCAAAATTAAAGGCAGCTAAGGTCAAAGACGATATTGACATTACAACTATTCATAAACTAACACTCACGAAACGTGCAAATGTCATAACAACCTACAAAGACCATGCTATTTTCTTAAAAAGATGAAAACACATTCCTTATGGAGGCTAAAAATGACGTTTCGTTTAATGAGCGTATAATAATTACAATAATAACTAGCTTTTATTTCTTAAGACGTAGTTTATATTAACACACGATATGATTTTCATGTTGCTTTTTTTGGCATATATTCGGTGCTTGCAATCGTGTCGAGTAATACAATTCGAGTATCGATGATATGAAAGAGGGAGGTTCTGTTTTTATAGTAAACATTAAAGGAACGAAAACAGACAAGCCCAGAATCTTTACTATTATACAACATTTCATTAAAACCTTGAAATATAAAACACAATAAACGGATATTCTTTACGTTAGGGACGCTGCGCTTTTCACCCATCTTTTGTCTTGATACCAACCTGCGAACAAGTTATGGCGTTCTGCACCGTGCAACTACCAACGTACGTTATCTTTCATATATTTGTGTTCATGTAAAAAGATCACCATGGATGAATAAGATCTTGTAATGTAACGTAATCTTCTCTAACATAAAGCAATGAAGGAAAATATTTCAGTGTGGGTACAAAACAGTGAAAAATTACAAGGACACTGAATTAAAAAAAAATTACAAGCCTCGAATGCAATATTACAGTGCTCAACCAGAAACAGGAATAAATCTCTACCCATCCTTTTGCAATCTTTTCCGATACAAATATTCCATGAGAAAGCTGTTCCAATCAATTTGGCATAAACTACTGCGAGAGAGACGATGACGTAAGGGGCGCCGTTGGCTTGCAATGGCGTTTCGTCTGCTTCCAAATCCCTTTCTTTTGTTCCCAGAAGCAGATGATAATGCTTCAGAATTCGCACATGGCATTTGAGTGGCAACGTGTCTATGTTCACGACATGTATACTGACTGCCTCATTTCTCACAATATTTGGCAAAGCCATCCAATTCATGTTGGAACAAGACATTGAAAACTACGACTACCTATTTAGATTATGCAGGTTGGCAGAATGATAAGTGAATATGTACATTTTTTGCGTTGGCAAACCTACAGTGAAATATGAAGAACGAAATCCGTAATTCCTCAACATGTAAAGACCAGCCATATTAACAATTTTTATTTTACAATCATGGGAAATGAAGCTTGAGTCTGGTTGGAATTAACACATTTACGAGAATTTAAAAAAAGCAAAAACTACCAAATGCAGAAAAGTACTGTGGTCATTCACTTAGTGCAACATTTCTCGGCGATAAGTAGTGATATTAAGAAGTAGCAAAGGAAACACTTTTCCTTCTAGAAATTCAGTTTAATTCATAATACGTATACAACACGAAACTACACAGTTTTACCATGACAATGCAATTTCTTTGCTTACAGATACCATTGTTAGGGAACAAAAACAAATTACCAATTTTTTAACAAAACAATTTTTTTTCAAAAGTCTGTGTTTGACAAATTTTAATTTTTTTATGGCAACTTTCATCTCACTGCCACCAAAATGAGCTCTAAACATTTGCACTGTTTAATTCTAATCATCACCTTCATATGTTTTCTGCACAGTCTTGTCATAATAACATCTCATCTTCAAAAATACCCTTAAAAAAAACATTAAATAAAAAGATCTTTGACTCACAGACATATTGTTTCCGTCTTCCTTTCCCAAAGTGAAATATAGAACATTTTTTGTGATTCTTTATTTCACTTGTTTCAATTCATAAAATTACTTGGCATGGCCGTATCTGATACAGTGTGTAAATTTGGGCACTGAGAGCTGCTTGTTTTCTGCTTAGGCTACACTAATACAAGAATTATAAAACCATGAGTATCTTACTTTGCGTAAGCCACCTTAAAACAAAGCTGACCTGCAGACACACCTTACAGAATTACATATATTTATCCACAAATTAATCAAGTAGTTATTAAAGCAAAAATTAAACCAGTTGTAGATTTTGTGCCTTAATTTCAAATTATGTCTAAATTGTAAGCAATCAAATGAGAGATATGGTATGAAGTTAGACACAAACCACTTTTTTTCGAAGAAGAAATATATTATGCAGAGTAATATTCATCCAATTCACTCTAATTTAAAAGGAACACACAGAAAAACAATTCTCTGAAGTAAACACCACAAATTGTGCTGATGTAAATAATCCGAATATGATTTCATTAGATATAATTGATGAAAGCAATGAACATCACAGATGATGCAATTATTTCCACCGAAACAGGAAATAAATGGCTTATACAAGATAAGTGATTTTCAAAACTTTTTTTTTAGTGGCAAAATTAACAAATATGATGTTACTTGCATGTTAGTGAAAACAGTATTCATTTTGTAAACCAAGAAATTGATTGGAACAATGAAAGCCATATTTACCACTATAATGACAAATTATGGAGGTCAATATTACATCTCTTTATGGATTACATGGACTGTCAGTTGATGATTTCAATGGTGACCTATACAATTACATGCTACAGCACACTAATTTGGAAAATAATTTTATAATAGATGACATGAATATTGATATTCTGAGAAAAAACAATTGTTAATCAATATATCAGCAATTATTGAGAATATCCCTTCAAATCAATGATTAATACTCCAGCAAGAGAAAATGAAAATTCTAAAACTTGTATACTGTACAAGTCATATATTACAACACATATCAGACCCATGTCTTTCGTTGTATAGATGTAAACGTTTTCAAAGTTACATTATTATTTTTGACCTAAAAAGACAAAAAATCATTGCATTCTAATGAGACTGCACAGCACTAATATAAAAAACAAATGCCTCTTTAGCAATCCAAAGTGTGATAATACATGCACGCACACACTTCACAAATCTAGTAAGACTTTATTAAAATAACAACAAATTTTGTTGTACTTTGAATTATTAGACTACAAATCAAAATATGATGTGGTGTCAAGAACAAGGTAAAATAATGTACTGCTTAACCTGAAAATAATTTTAAATTGGAGGCATTTTCTATATTTTAACTTTTATGTATTTGCTAATAAAGCAGCTGTCAATGCATTAGCATTGACTTGGTGATAAAACACGCAAAGAAACTGAAGTCAGGGTACACATTTTTAATTCTAAGTAAGCAGTAATGGCACAATTTTGTGAGTTAACAAAGTTAAAAAATTTTGCTATCCCAATAGTGCACTTGTTTGGAAATGTTTATGTAAATAAGTGAGTGTATAAAAAACAATGCTACTGCTTCCCCTCAAAAGAAATTAATCAACTATTAAAATAAGGAGTATAATCTGGCAAAATATCTGATGCATTTGAGACGTGGTTTCTTTTGATTAGAGTCAAGATATTAATTTCCTTATACATTGTAAAATCTTCTTTAAGTCCCTCAGACTCACTGAGATAACTTTTTTAGTATGCAAAATTATAATTTTGTTAAATCAGTTTTTCAAACCAGTAGGACGAACCACGGTAGATGATACTTTGAAACCTCAAGTCTGAGAAAGTCTGAGAGAGAGAGAGAAAGAAACATTTACTGCAAAGTCCTCTTCATAACTCTACATTTAAACAAGAAGCAATGGCAAAAAAAATACTTAAAAAATGAACATTTCCAGATTCCATTACTTAAACTTCCTCAAAATTACTATTAATAAAAAAAATTAATACATTACACTATGATAACTAACATCAACTGGCCCGTAATAAATCGCAGATAACAAACTGGTCCAAGTTTGCAAACCAAAGCAATAGCCAAGGTTTACAACCAACCGAGTCTGTTATTGGCCGGGAGTCATTTGATACTTTTTGTAATACCATCATGATATAAAAAATTGTATAAATAAGAAATACCATTTCTTGGAATAGGAGTACTCATATACCACACGTTTGTTTTCATTGTTCTCAATAGACAGAGGCCCTTAAAATCCTTAACAGATGCTGGCCTTTAAGAATGCCCTCTATTCCTCCATTTGGTGGTGTTACTATTTAAACAGAAATATGAGGTTGGACATGGAAAATATATACACACACACATTCATATATAAACATAATTTGGATCCTTTTAATTTTATAAAATCCAATTATTCATCCATCAAACACATCTCCCCATCATTTATTACATTTTCCAAAATAGAATTCTGGGATACTGTTCACTAACGGCCTCAACAACAAACAAATGTACTGTTTTTTAACCTTCAAAATTATAACTACATTTACAAGTTACTTATCTAAAAATTAGTGCAGAGACTGTACCAGTGAATCATAATAATCACTTTCCTAATTTTCTGATACATTTATATTTCCAAAATCTGTAGCTACGTAATGAAATTTGACTAAATAGACTTATACTTAGTGCTTTGTGCAGTAAAACTTTGTGGTTATATTTATACCAAAGAGAAAACACTGTATGCAGTCCTTATTCTACGTTCATATCAATCTAAAAACTCAGATCCAAATGTTAATTGTACCAAGAACATAATTTATATTAAATCATAAAATGCATCAGTTATGGAATATACAATAAAGTCTCCTCAACAGTCATGGAATGTAATGAATTACACTGGACAACAATTTTAAACTTTTATTTTAAGCAAAAACTAAAATTTATGTGAAGTACACCTCTCTGGTTCCTGGATGAAATTAGGCGATTCGTACTGGCAATGGAAGCTGAATCTTTATATGACTTCAGTTTTGAACTATCACATATAGTGTTTGGTAAATTGACAACTGTATGATTTATACTTTTTGTTGAATCACTGTTACATTTAAGTACATATTACAGAATACTTATCTTACTGCAACTGCCGTTTATATGATGAGGATGGAGTTTCTCTCATTGCTAATCAACAGTAATCTGACAACAAGGTGGGGTTCCATCTCCCCTGGTAATGTTTTTCAATCATCATAATGTCCTGAAGTACTCTCCATATTCATCCCTGACAACTCCCAAATTATCCGGGAAAAAATCAAGGGGGAGTGCAAGAAATGAAGCTTTAAAGACATGTTATATCCCATCTCAAGGTAGACTACAAGTTTTTCTACATAGTTTTTTAAGTCCCTAACCAGGTCATTTAAATTCCTCTTGAGATACTTAACACAACACAATGGGGTTCATTTACATTAGAAACATGGAAATCATTGACTTCTAAATGTATTTCTTGGCCATCTTCTACATGCTTTGAAACCCATGATTCTGGGTGAACAGGGTAAGGAAGGTCCAACCCATGAGCAACTAGTTGCATTGCTGAAGGTGAATTGAGCTACCCAATTGCTTTCTTGCTTTTTGCAGAGAAATCCACTATTTTGGTGACACAAAAACAGTAGTAATTTAAGTCATCCTGTTGCACGCTTCAAAATATTGGTACTGCAAAAGGCATACATGAGTGAGTGCCTTTAAACCATGAACATAATCTATTTGCACAAGATGGGTAGCAAGTGTAAAGTGCCCAATTCTTGCCCTGATCGCACTCTCAACACTGAACACAAAATGCAGGCAATAAGCTGTTTATAAGAGACCTGATGATCACAGAGTTCTTTTCTATTTGTAAGATGTGTTTAACAATAACATATTTATAGGAATCATGAATTACAGAATTTATGAACAGACGGAAGAACTAGTCATGTTTTACAAAGGGTCTTATTCTCAACAATGACTTTCAAGTATTTCTGCCAAACTTTACATGATAGCGCAAAACTGATTATTTTTGGATTTAGCATAAAAAAATGCTTCTAGATCACATTCTCTGCTTCTGGGAACCAGAAATCTTGTTGACCAGTGTTATTAACAATCACAACTTACAATAAATAAATTAAAAAACAAACAATTTAAAAGATTTTTTATAAGAAATAGCTACTCTTCACAAACAAATTAAAGTTCTACATGACTAGGATACTGCTCATAAATGAGCAAAGTTGTCTCCATGTTAATACACAAAACTCACTCAATGATCTATTGTTATTCGTACTTCATGAAACTGTTTCAATTCTCAGAGTTTATTGCTTTGTAAGAAAACTTAAATATGGTATCACTGATTACAAAATTAAGACAGACTTAGGTTTAACTGTAAATGTTTTTTCAACAACTACATGCAAAAATATTCAACAGTGAATAGAGAAAAAAAATCAGAAAATAAACTTTTTTATGTTCTGAATTTAGGTTAAAATACAAAATTTTACTTCTATTTTTTATATACTAAGAAAAGCCATGAACAAAAAAAATTAATTTCCATCTTCAAAATTCTTTAATAAAACTTTTCTCTCCAAAAATTCTCAAATGGTCCACATATGATAATATCTAATAAATTACCATTTGTATATTTTTCAAATCAGTCTTTCTCTACATTAATGCTTTATAATAACTCTCTCATACAAAATTACAGAAAAACATTCAAAAATTCAATATTCCACAAATCTATGTACTTCAGAAAGCTCATTAACAGTAGGTAGGGTCTTTTGGTACATGTTCATCTGGAAGCAACAACTTGAGCTAAAAAACTGGCAATGGAGTTGTAGGAACCATAGTACGAGATGAAATTCTTCAAACTTCTAGTATTCCGTTCATAAATGCTGAATAAAATATTGTGCCCATTACAACAAAATGGATATTAAGTAAAACAAGTCTTGTGTTATTAATGAAAGATTAATCCATCACACTTAATAAAAAGTTCAATGTTCACCTTACACTAAAAAATTTCAAACACAGAAATTATAGGCATTATTTTACATACAAACTAAAATTGGAAGTTTGGCAAAGCTCCAAAATCTCATCTGCACATCTGCTTGAAAATGTACAGCCTGTCAATTCAAAGATATTCTCTTTACAGCCAAAAAATAATACCTTTTTTTATTGCAAAAGAGCTCAAAGAAGATCAATTGGATTATTAGGCATGCCTGTTACATCCCATATTGTAGCAGCTAGACGCCGAGAATGTTCCAAGACACACGATGCAGTTGCCAATCCCAAATGAATGCAGTAGAGCTCGTAACAGCGAACTTTTGAAGGAGATAATTTGGGAAAACATATTTCTATCAATTTTCTGAAACAAAAAGGAGTTGACATGACAAATACATAATAAATAATAATAACAGAAACAATAATTTGCATTTATTTAACATCAAAATATTGAGTTACAGTGTACTGTGTAAAGTATACAAAACATGACCTTAAAACATTTAAAAAGAAACAAGTATAGAAATGTAAACTAATACAATTTACTTGGCTGTCCGGGTGACGCCACGTCCATGGCAAAGATGCCAACATTTCTGTCGCTATCCTGCGACCTTCCTCAGGGCGTCATGTGTTATCATTATAACTCACTATTGCATTACGTTCTGAAGGTCACAGAATGGTGACCAAAACGTAAAAGTAAATACTGACTTTGGCCGCGGAAGCCTACGCTCTCAATTAAACTAATACATTTAAAAATCTTCAACCTAGAATCGGTGCAACCGTTGTAATAATAATAATAATAATAAGTAAATACAAAAATATCAAGATCTTAAACCTAAACACAAGAAGTCTGTTTTAAAGAATTTATATGAAGTACACTCCTGACCCTCCCTAAGCACTTCTTAATCTTGTCAGAGAGAGATGAGTTACCTTCCACTTTTGGTGTGATACCAGTGTTGACTACAGCCCCCTTAATCATCCACTCTACTTTTTACTGATATATATAATATACGTTTACTTACTGTAAATGGGAGGGGTGTAGTCACAACCGTTTCATAATTATTTAGGGGGGTTAAGCGTATTTTATAGGAGGAAGAGGGGATTTTCAAAATGCTCTAAATTTGCGTTATGTAATTTATGGACAGCCCCTAATGACATTATTTTAAGACCTGCCTTTAAAGAACAGATATCTTTAGTGAAAAATTTGAAAAAGTCATTTCATGCTTCTCAAACAGAATTCTCCAGAGCCAACATATCCTTTACAAACTCTGAATGTGTTGAGTTCCTTTAAATTGATCAAGGAATATCAATTTCGGAGGTAAAGTTTCTTCAAAACTCATAGCTTTTCTGTAAAAATAAGCCCACAATTCTGCATTTTCAGAAACAATAACATTTTCTCAAAAACTGTTCCAAAATATTTCTTTAAACATTTTATATGAAAATGCACTGAATGATATGACATCAATGCCATTTTGATTTTATCAAAATTACACAAATGTTATATTTTTAAAATATCCATCACATCATTAATATTTATGTTATGGATGTGTGAGTGTTTTTTTTGTATTTATATATATACTTTGTTTGTAATAAAATCAAAGGTTTTCTGTGAAAATGAGCTCAAAATACACACTTTCAGGAATGCTCAAATGACATTTCCTCATAAACATCTCCAAATTTTTCAACAAAAATTTGCATGTACAATCTATAATATTCTTAATGTCATATCGATTCTATCATTTGAAAGAGGAAGAAGAAAAAAACAAAACAAAAACATCAACAACAACAACCCCACCCTTCAGGTGCCAATAGATGTCAGCTGAGAAGTGGGGGCAAAGCCAAAGACAGCCCAGACTGAAGAGATAAGGAAATTAAGTAGTATGAGAAAGTTTGTACCATTGTCTCGCACCATTAGTTCTGTCACATTATGTTTCGTATGAAATGAGATAAAGTGGATTAATATTTTTTAATCTGTGTACACAGTTATAATATTAATTCCTTCTTGCTATTTATCTACAAGGGTAAGTCAGCAAGAATCAGAACTCATTCAAATTGTTTGTAGTTTGAACAGCTTTGTGCACTTGCCAGCCTCAAGATGATTCCCATTAATTTGCTTGTGTCATGTTTCAATGTTACCATCTCAAGTATGCTTGTGCTGTTGCTTATTTGTTTTATTGTGATCTGAATGTCTACTAGAAACTGAAATCCATACAAGTTTTTCAGAACACCTCAGCAAGTGTTTTCTAGAATGAATTAAACAAGCAGGATGAAGAAAGAACATGGCATTCAGCCTCTTCCAATACTAATTCTGAATAACTGAATGCCCTGATCTTGTCACATCTGATTACCCTCTGGTCCATTTAATGGTGCTTTAAGAGGCCAAAGATTCATCTCCAATCTGTAGGTGAACAACGTGTTGAAACCTTGGCTTGCTGCTCAGCTGAAAACACTTTCAAACTGAGGGTATCAGCAAGCTTGACCAAGTATATTGAAATGCAGGGTGGCTATTTTGCAAAAGGTCACAATATAAATTTTGAACTGGTGTTTCCAATTAATTGTAAAAAATTGAGTGCTGATATTTATTGACTTATCCTTGCACACTTGGATTGTTGTTACCAGAAAAGCATTAGTGGTAAATAAATGTCTAAATTACTCACTGATAAAAATCACCACACAGAATCCCAGGTATAGGAAGGCCAGACAACATGTGTCTTGGAAAATCCTTTGGTTTCATTGGTGCTCCCTACAAAACCAAAAGTGGATTATTCAAACTGCTCTAGTAACATTGGGAAACCACATTCTTATAATAAAATTCCGTAATACAGTTGACTCCAGTTATAGTGAATTTCTGGCGACTAACATTTTTGGTTCAGTATATCAGAGATTCACTGTATTCGACGAAGTCAAAATTAAATAGAATTTCTCCACAATGACACAGCAAAATACATTAAGAGCCTGAACTGAAAATTTCAATACCCTTATGCAACCTAAAAATCAATTATTTTCAATTGTTTGTTTTCTACATTTTTCATAAGTAATTTCTCCTGGGACAAAGTTTGTGCTTTCTCTATCCTTGATTCTGCATTGTTCCCTGCCTCTAAGTATCGTAATGCAGTCTTGACACCCTTCAATACCTCTTGCACTGCTGAAACACTGTCCCACTCTCCAAAGGTCCTTTTACTTGCATAATAACATACGTGATCCTTTCGGTACTGGCATGGCACAAGAGGTTAATGAAACTGATAGTTTATCTGCACAGCACGATCGGTGTTGCCAGGCTGTGGAACGGTGGCAGTCACACACTTACTGTCGCCTATGCAGAATAGCATGTGCTTTGTCCCGTGGAATTTTAAGTAAAATCAAGCTTGAAACTGAAGAAAGCAGTCACACATTGCCAAAACCAGTAGTAGCCCATGTTAGACACAGCCTTTCTGTCTGCAAGTTTTCTCAAGGTCATCAGTAAGGTCCCTATTCCAGCACTGCTACCTCCACTTCAAGGGAGACTTTTTCAATTATGATCTTTGGCTGACAATATTTTTTTAAAAGCTGCATAGAGCTGGAATTGTTGGCAATATAATTTTTCTAGGAGGCACATTTACTATAGCCAAGGTTAGAGTTTATTATAACTAAATCTTCTGGTGCTTATTTGTAATGTAAGTGAAACAGGACCAGTCACCTAAGTTTACTATACCCAGAGTCGATTGTATTAGCATATTTTTAAAATAACTCTTATAGTACTCACTGCAGAATCTTCAAACCATAAGAAGTATGCATAGTTGAAAGTAGTATCTTTCCACATAATAGCCAAATGCCCTTCTTGTAAATGTTTTCTACTAAAATCAATCATGGACCAAATCTGAAAATTAGAAGTTAGGGAAGCCTGTTAGGGAAGATATCAGTTAAAAAAGGAAATTAGTTCAAGGAACAAAATACCAACTTTTTTCTTTGTGAGGGTGATTGTCTCTTCTGAACTGAAATCTAGGGATGGAGCAGTAATCCGATGGTTACTTCTATCAATGTACATAAAGTGCACAAGACCAGGAAATTCCTCCAGATACTTGTTGATGGTTAGGGAAGTTCTAGTGTCTTATATTAAGGATAAAACAGACAATAGTAGCAGATGCAAAAAGATGCAGCACACAAAATTGAAACACATCAGCAAAATTAAAAATAAACAAGCTTGACACCTTTCTTAAAACATTGTTTTTAGTATTTCTGTTCACGTATAATTTTGTATGATAGAATAACAATCACCACAGAATATGAATACATCACAAGCTATTTTAACAATTTGAAGTAGCACAGGAACCAAAAATATGTAAAAATGTCACTCAAAATACCGCATGCTTATTAATTACTAGACATTGGATTGTTAGGCAAATACCTATATGCTATTTTAACAAATGACACTTGAATTTAGAACATTACACATTTCTAGTGTCTTTTTCCTGATAAAGCATAAAAATGCCTAATCATCCATTAATGATCTCATTTTAGGATTATTGATCTACACTATTATTTACAAGTTTCGTTTGAATCATCTCAAGGAGAGACAATGGACTTTGAACTTTTGGCTAATACTTTTGTCGTGGATATAATGAAAGTCATATCAGAATTTCAGTGAGAAGTAGCAGAGACTTACACTTTTATGCATCTAAGACGAATATGCAAAACTTGATTGACTTTAATAGATATACAAAGGTCGTAAACAGAATATTTATTGCTTCACACATTTGTAGGAAGTTCTGGTTTGCTCAATGGATATTTTTTCTAAAATTAAATTTAATAAATCTTCCCAAAAAACACGTTCAGCAGAAAAAAATTAACTACAAGTGTTTTCCTAAGGCCTTGTGCTGGAAATGAAGAAGAAAATGTAAAATTTGATTCTAAATTAAAGTGAAAGTATTTATTTAATGTGAACATGGAATTAAAAAGTTTGTATTACTCTTCAAGATATTCACACATTGTATAATTTGTGCGCACTTGCATAGTTTCACAATGTCTGAAAAAAATTCTGTGTATAGAAGTATCATACAAAATTAAGTTGCCATCCAATTGTGTTCTCCTTGTAGATGATAGTGTGATGAATGAATTGCATTTTGTGACATCATTGTGAATGTCATGTTTGCCAACCACCATTTTAGAATCTAAAAATCCAAAATCTAGTACTTAAACACATTTCACACTAATATTACCGACTCATATTAACATGCATGTACAATACAAGGGAAACTGCAATATGAAAGATGACCCAAAACAAAAGTAGAAGCAGGAGCAAACAATAAATATAAATTTGATGAATCTAGAATCAAAAGAGACTTTGATTACTCTTAATACTATAACCTTGACATTATTTCTTAACATTTCCACTTGGATCAGGAGTCATTTTGCACTCAACACAATTTCTCTAGTAAAGCATCATCATTACTGACCAGAAACACCATAATCTCTAAAATAGACAGGCAAAGAAGGTACTTAATAAGCAAAAAGGCAAAATAAAATCAATTTTTTTCAATAATAAATTCATGATTATAGTTTAACACAACAGTACGGAATATGAATTTCGCAACAATGTGAACAAAAATTAGACGACAAATTTCAAGGATAGACAATTTTTATGACAAAATACTTGGCATATTCAAAATTTTTGGTTATCTTAAATAACTTGAATGTTTTTTAAAATTTTTTGTGGTTAATTTATGTCTTCTGTCAAACAAAACATCCTCCAATGAAAGAAAAATCTCTCAACATCAACAGAGGTTACTACAGCAAATCATAAATACAATGAGTCAGAGGAATCAATTTCTGCTGATGTCAAAACTAAATTGTAAACCTTTAGAATATTACAAATATCTAAGTTTTTATTAATCAGAATTTTGGGAAAGCACTACCTTACATTTTTTTTTGTTACCAAGAATCTTTTCTGTAGCCAATGTTCAACATAATCCACAAGTTTCAATGATTTCTCTAGATGCTGTCCTTTCTTCAAGTTAAGTGATGACCTCTGGTAAAATCTGAATTGGGGCATAATAAATATTATGTAATTATTTATTTCTAAAGAAACAAAAAGTTTCTTTGTTACTCTGAGTGATGAAGTTTCATCCTCAAGAGTGTTGACCAATGCATGCATTCTTTACAAAAATCACTTCCAGAACCTTACAGATATCACTTGTTGAGGTTGCTAGTATTTAGTGTCACCGTACAATTCATTTGATTGTGATAAAACTTTGTAAAATTATTGCTTATACTTGTGTGAAGAACATAGGCTTTATACAATGGGAATGTGCGTATGCCTGTTACACAGACGCAAAATGGGAGTCTTGTTGATCAAGATTTATGACTGAATTGCCCCATGAACAGAAGCTCTATGCACCCTCAAGTATTAAGCACATCTTCACTGCATTATCTGCCCCTACGATTGTGAAATTTCAGCCGTGATCTCAACGTGATCTCAGTCAAGTAGCTCAAATTGCTCAGAGACAGTGTCACAGCATATACATGCCCAAAAGTGAAGGAGAACATTTTAACAATATGATACTTGAGATCCAAACCAGGACGTAGAACAAATTCATACTCATGAGAAAATCTTCAATCTATTAAAATTTCTGCAGAGCATAAATTGTGATAAACAATCACATGACCAGTAGTGTGTGAAGTGTGATACATTGCAATAGCAAAACATTGCTGCATCCACTAATACAAAAGCAAAAAAGCATTTGGCTTAATTTCCAATCTCTAATCATGATAGTAAGTCACACACACAATTAACATTTCACACACACACAGAAACACATATCTAAAAAACAAACAAACAAAAAACACACCCTTACTGAACATGGAATATCCATTTTCGAGAAAAACCTGTGAACAGTTTAGGCACATATTGTCCACAGACGAATAGACAGATATTAGAAACTAAAGTTTCCATACTAGGGGGGTCCCAAAATGTGCATTATCTTCACCAGTTTTTTGCAGCTACACTGTTCTCTATCTTTGCAACATATATGAGAATGTAAGAGTCAAGATTAATACAAGTACTAGATATTTTTATTAAAGATACAAAAAAACAAACAAAAACAACCATCATCTTCCATAATTACATCATTCCTACAATGCAAGAGAAATGTAATGAATAAATATCAAAGGATATGATCCCATGGTGAAATTCCTAAGGGCTTTCACCTTCAGGAAATTGCTGAAATCTGCCAATTTGTACTTCACAAATGATGTTACAGCCAACACTGAATCTCTTCCATGATTTGTCATTGTTGTATCCCAGCATGTGTACCTCAAAAGGTCTTTCAAGTGATCAGTAAAAGATGTGGTAACCGATTCCACTCGCACAATACAATTCAGTTCACCAGTCTTTATATATTCAATGTACTTTTTACGCATTGATTCCCACTGACTTTGAAGTTTCTTTATGCAACTCTCAACTTCATTTCTAGAATTCTTAGTTTTCTTATGCCCATCAAAAATCTTTTTGACACCAGCATCAAGATACTCAAAGGCATGTTTTAAACCATCCATATCTCTCTGGAGTTGTATGTTTTGGATGATTGTGAGAGCATTAAATGCTTCATACAATCCAGCAGAAATTGCAGCACTACTTGTCTGTAAACAAACAAAACAGACACCAGTGATCAGTAAAATATTACATTACAAAAAGACTAAGCAATGGCAGCAAAGGTTGTTCAACTGTTTAGCATTCTGAATTACAAGGTGCACATTATGTGACATGGGGTACCTTGTAATTACTAAACACTACCAAGTTACCTGTTACATCAGTTTTTGATTGAGGGTGAAGTTATCATTTCAGATTACTGATGCTTCTAAGAGAATTTCATTCTGACAAAACATAAGAAAAAAAAATTCAAAAAGGCTTCACAAGGGTGTTGCATTCACAAATTTGTTTAGAGTCACACTACAATTTATTACATTTTTGAGGTATCCCTGTTAAAAAAATATTATTTTGGAATATAACCGTCAATAGGAGATCAAAATGTTCTTATTGTTTTTGTATTCTAATATTTTAAATATCAAGGAAATACTCATATTTTAAGTTTAAACGTTATTTCAATTCAAAGTTTTTCATTACAATAGTTCAAATTAACACTTACATTTCAGAGTACATTGTAACTGAAGAGAAACTTACTTCAAACATTAACAGAAAAAACACACCATCTTCCAAAGAACTGATGTGAACAACATGCGGGGTGAAAGCTGCGTTTGTTCCCGTAAGCAACACCAATTGGCTATTCAGCCCATCGCCTTGTACTTGCTCAACACTCTGGGATGGTCCCCTGCGTTGAGGGGCAGGGCTGTTCCGAGGTGATGCTTGGGGGCTATAAAACTCTTCGCTACTAGACTCGCCCCCAGCAGCACCAGCATCTTCACTTTCAGAACTCTCCACAAGATTCATAGAATCAGCACTTGGAAGCAGATGGAAAGCTTCACACAGAAGACTCAAGAACATGATATCGGATGCAGTCAGATCTTGAGTCCCTCGACTAAAAGAAAACACACAAAACATGGTAAAATAAAAACTAAAAGAACTACAACAATTCAGTTGTAGCACCATATGAAATAAAATAATAAAAATATCTACAGAATATTAAACAGTTAATTACATTCACATTACCTTGAGAATAAAGAAAGGAACTTGTTTTCCACTAAAATCATAGCATGAACACGAGAAAAATCTGTATGCGATTTCAGTTTCTCAGTCGCTTCTTGTAAAGCTCTAAGAGTGGCAGCACTAAGATCAGTATTTACCATCAATTGTTCAACAGCTTCTACCAAAACAGCTTGATCTGAGTCTTGAAGCTGAATCCACGTATCCAAAATGCGTGAAAGAAGAGCTGCACGACTTTTATTAGTCTTCAGTCTGAAGAAAATCATAAGCATATCAAAACTCATAGGATGAATCAACGAGGAGATAAGAGGGGAAAAAACGCATATAATCTTCTCACAACAATTGTTGTAGAAATAAATGAAACAATCATTAATTGACAGCTGGTAAGCTATTTTGAATCATTCTATAACCCATGCATATAATAATTTTACCGCAATGTACATTTACAGCAGTTTTATTACTTGAAACTTCCTTATCTGAAGTTCCATAACAGCCAGACAGTTTCTTATGCTTCATAATAATTTTTAAAGAATTCCTAGGAGGCCATGTTTACTAAGGTTATATAAAAACAAAATTATGGTCTAAAATTATACAAATTTAATATCTTTGGGATTCCCTTGATCCTCCAGGAAACATGGTTGATGCAACAGGCAAGCCCCTTGTTTGTCAAAAAAGGACATGGCACAAGAATCCAAGAATTTTCAAAAATATCAACATCAAATTCTGAAACAGTAAGTAGTTAGTGGATATTTTTTATGAATGTAATGAATTAAAATAAGATATAATGGTTTTATCAGAAATAAAGAAGAAAAGTAGTGATGTGGAAGGAATGGTTTATATTTACATTTTTATAGAGGATTATTGAAAGCACAATGAATGAAACATGGTGTATTTATTAAGATAAATAAATATAAAAATCACATATCTCATTGGGAAGCAATAAATAAAAATATAATAACTTTAAATATAGATATTTTCGGTATAAAATTTACTATTGTGGGAATTTATTGTGTTAGTGGAGATGTGACAACAATATTGAAGGATAAATTTTATGAAACATTGCATAATACATTAAAAACGATTGGAAACAATAGGGAAATACTCTTTTCATGCTTTTGTCAAACCATGAGTATTCTTGACATTTTTCATTTTGTGGTGATTTTTCCTTATAGTGATAGAATTGTGGAAAATGATACTCAGAAGTGTTGAGTGTGATAGAGCTTGTTCTTCCCTGAAAAAGTGACATCATTGCATTGGAAAAGACTTCTGAGTACAGAAGTTGTCTCAATACACAACTGTCACAATGACCTTCTCAATGCAAGCAACCAAGTTAATTGTCAGCTGTCACACAAAACATATTACAGACAAAAGATCAAGCAATTGTCATCGATGATATGGATGGAGTACCAATTAAAGAATACATAAATACTGTTGGCCAACAAATACATCCTAATAACATCACATTTGTCAAGATAGTTGTTAACAAATTAAAAGGCAATACATGGATATTACAACAAGAAGATGCTACCATAGATGGAAAAATATATAATCTTGAAAATAACATTATTTAAGCAGCAAATTTTTCTGTACCTAAAGCCTCAGGCAAACCACACAAAAGGTTCACACACTGGTGGAATGAAAAACGTAAAAAAGCACTTAAAGAATCTAAACAAGCCTTCAATAAATACAAACATAAATTTGTTGTAGTTGGAAATAGGTGCAACAATTTGTGTGCAATTACACAGAACTTTTACCTGTACAGTTACAGCAGAAATAAACTAACAATTTTTCTTTTTCAATTGAAAGAGCTTTAAGATGAGAGTGTGTGAATATATCACATCACAATCACTTTACTCTCACTATGTACATCCCACAAGACATCCCAGAGGGAGTAGCTGGAACTTAAGCTGTCTGTAAGTAAAATGTATTCATTGTATGAAGAAATTCATCATGAAAGAGGCAAAAATCACCAAAGTTAATTACTTTTATGAGATTTATTGGCAGAGAAAACAATGATCCATTTTTCAAACCAAAAAAACAAACCTTTTTGCCGCAAAAGTAGCGAGAAAGTAAAAAGAACCCAAAAGAAATTAATATTTACGTTAACAATGATATTTAATGTATTATTTACCATTTTAATTGGAAAATTCTAAATAGCCTGTAAAAGTATTGTTATAGCTACTGGGTCAATGATCCCATCTTCATCAGTTTTTTTGCCCACTTTCCCTGATCCCTTGGGCAAATACCGAAATGCCTCCTTTGCTTCTGGACATAAATGTAACTATGTTATCTGTGCATGTCTTCTAGAGTTCATTGGTAAATATAGTTATTCAAATTCAATTATAGTTATTCAGTGGGAAATATAATTATTCTTCATGTTATCACAGCAGATGTACATTCTTTCACAAAGGACATGAGGGATATGAACCCAAATCCATAGCTGATTTGCCTTTGAAAATACATTTCATTACATTGGAGCAAATATTTTCTTAACAATTCTTGCCAAAAACACTCAAGTCTTTCTGAACTCAGAATTCAACTTGTACATGGCTTAGGATAGGGATCCCAGAATTAAGAAATAATGCACTTCTCCCAATAGCATGTCACAAACAGTTTTTAACTGTTTTTGATGTAAAATAAATAAAAGCTAATTATGTATTGCTAATATTATGCTCAATGAATTGTGAAAGCCTTCTAATGGGATAGGTTGTCATTATCAAGCAGTATTTGTGCATTTTCAAAAACTGTAACGTTTTATTTTTTGTAATAGTAAAAACTGCAAATATCCCAAAAAAGCAGTATTGGAAAGGGATTCAGGAACTGGTGAACAGATGCTGACATAATACCATGATTTTTGTGCACAAATGCAATAATCATTTAAATATCAAAAAATTGGGCTTTCTAGGGGAAAGATAAGGTCATAAAATTAAGTGAAATAAAATCCCTAATATATGAATGAATTTTCTACATTCTAATAAGTGATAAAACTTACATTGATACATCTGGTCCACACAAGTGTTTAACTATTGTTATACAAATTCCTAGCATTCTTTTCAGCCAACTCACTTCTTCAACTCCAATATGAATGAAAAGGTATCCCATAAACTGAAAATAAATTACTATACAATAAAAAAATACTCAAGGGTTTTCACAACAAAACAGAAAAATACTATATAGACTTACTTCATCCAGAACCATGTTGGTTCCATCTTCACATTGAAATGACGAGTAGGAATTGCCAAACTGACAACCCATTATCCGTTGAGAGGCCACAACAGGAGAAAATATCTGAATGAGTACATTATAACTAAGTTCTTCCTCATCCTGTAACACATCAAACTACAAAGTTTGCATCCATCTTAAGAACAGAAAATTGGTCTAAAATATAATCTCAAGTTGCCTTATTCACAAACCTTGTCTTCAGATATTAAACCCTGGTCAATTCCCAACTTTCTCATGTGTCGGGTGAATTTTCGGTCATATTTGGTGTAAAGAATGTCATTTAATTGATCAAAAATTATTATACACTTCATTGTTGCATTCGTCGATTTATGACAAATTCGTTCTGTGCACAGTCCACTCCTTCAATGCAATAATCGTAAATCACATAAAGGCCCTTCAAGAGATTGGTGTTTGTTGTCTGAGCCGTATCATAATGTACAAATAGGTCGGCGTGTGCAAGGAGTTCAAAGGTCCAGTTACACAAAACGTGATACCACACAAATTAATCCACAAACTCGTAGGTCTAAACAATACTAAATGGCAAGAAATTTCGCTACATAAAAAACAAACTCCCAACCTGATCTATTCCGCAACTGTCTGCAAAATCGGTGTAGAAGAAATCAAAACACATCAATGCACTAAAATGGCTAGAATCACCAAATGTCAAGCACACAGCAGCATGTTTACAAACGAAACCAGCCACAATCTGTCAATTTCAAATGCAACCATGAAGATTGTAACCACAATGCAATGACATGAGTGTGCTGTTGCGCAGCCTATCCGGCTTCAGCCAATGAACTTCACGCACCACTTTGCGTCACAATATTAGCGAGAAGTTTAAATGCAGATAAATACCAGCATCGCCACAAGGCAGGAAAAATACAGTCTGAAGTGACAAAGTATGCATATAACGGTTAAAAATAAGAATGTATAATGAATATGTAAAATCAAAAAACATCGTGTTTTCTAATGTATAACCAAAATAAATTTACACAATTTAAAATTACATTAATACATCCATTGAATTGGTGAAAACCTTACGGTACAAGTGACATTTTATAAATTCTGAGAAAAACGTGTTTATTTTAGACTATATTTCAGTGGAAATGTATTTTCGTGTTTTTAATGAACAATTGAACAATTGAAATACAGTAGTTTTAACGATGAAACAAAGCTCCAAGAATTTACAGTGATTCTGACAAACTAGTAGTGAAACAGAATAGCACCGACTTTCCCGCATTAGTTTTCTATTTCCTTTGGTCTAGACTAGCTATACGAACTTGCTACAAACTCTTGCCAGCTGTCATATATCGCCACCTAAAGTACACTTTTTTTGAATTTTTCTTAATTTTTCAGTTTCCTGATTATAGGATGGAAACAATATTTTATGAATATTAAAGATCAGTAAAACCTCATTCTAAAATGCAATTTCTGGAATGGAATTTCAAAAGTGGGTACGAAGAGTACGATGTATTGTCTTGATCGGGGTTTGGATAGTTCAGGTTTTAATACTTTCGTTTACATTTTTCGAATCATTATTATTAATTAAAAGATTTAATATGATTTTTTTTTCAAGTCTATGATTTTCGAGTGTAGATTAACCCTTAAACGATATTCTCAGAAAAAAAGTTATTTTTAAGATCTACATTCTGAAAATTTGAATATGAAAACTAGGGGAGTTACAATAGTAAGTCCTTCCTTTCAATATTAACGGTTACATAATAACATCTCGATCAGTTTTTTTTTCAGTTTCCCTGATCCATTGAGCAAATGCTGAGATGACCCCTTGTTTTGCTTCTGGACGTAAATGTAGCTTCACTATGCGCACGTTTTGTTGAACTCTCCTTTTGCTTGTAATGGTAAGAGTAGAGGTAAGGATGAGTTGCTATTTTGTTAGCAATGCAGAAAAATCATACTTGAAATTCGTGTACCGATGCAAATAAGTTTACTATAACTCATAAACAAAAATTACTATTTTTCAAATGTTGCTAATCATGCAATTTAAAAATATATTTTTAAAATTTATTTTTATTTATTTATGCTAAACGTTTACTCATCGTTCAACTCTTTATAGTGAAAAAGACGGGAAGGGATTATGGAACTCGAGAAAACGTGCGCAGATAATCTTTCCCCCCCTTCGTTACATACAGTTTTTACTGATTTTTTTTGACTGAATAAATGAAATCAAATCAAACATTAAACGGACAATATTTTGACCGTTGAACGTGAATAAGTCGTGCGTGGACCTCAGCGATGCTCAGCTTGATCGATTACAGGAAGCAGGCTACCTCTCACCCAGTTCAGCTATTACGAGGCTCGTATGTGGGCTCCTAATTGGACCAATGAACAGGAACAATGGGACTCAGGCAGCGACTCACGGGGGTCAGAGTGCGCAGGTGAATGACATGCCAATCATACCGAGATGCAGTTCACCTGCCGCAGGTAGATTCATTGCGATTGTCGAAGGCAATGTAACGTAAAGTAAGTGCCTGTGAAAACTGTGCAGCGCAGATGATGAAGAGCTTGCCGAACTGGTACGAAGATATATTGTTATCAAGAGTTGTCTGCTTGTTTCAACAAGCAGACTTGTCGAGAGCAGCGTTGTAACGAGGAGAAAAACTTCAAGGAGTGTTGCAATGAAGAGCTGTCTGCTTGCAAAGAATGGTTGCGGACTGTTGCGCCAAGTACAGACAGACATAATTTAGTACTTAAAATTTCAAAAAATCGCTTTCGGAAAACAAAACTATAGCATTTTGTAGCACTATAAAAATTTATATTTCGAATATTGTAGCATATATCGAGAAAATTATTAAGGGAGGTCTCTTTGAGATAAAAAAGAAAATACTTTTTAGATTTTTCAATTAAAATCAAGAAATAACGGAAACTAATTTATATTTTGCCATTTGTGACTATTAATAAACACACCCATTCTCAAATTAAATGTTTTCAAACATCGATGTTTTGTTATCGATGTCGCATCCCTAGTTCGAGAACGAACTCGAAAGAAACCATTAAATTCAATTGATCAATTATATCGCAAATTCACGACCATTTCGCACTTTGTATGTGATTTTGCATTTTAAGATCGATTTCACATTTTATCGCAGATTGAAAACTTTGAGAAATACTGCAGCGACCCTCAAACAATTACATGTCACTTTTTCATCTTTGGTAACATTTTGAATTTTTAGCAATTGCTAAAATCAACCATCTCTATAAATAATAATCACTTTCTCCGCTCGTGACTCGTCAAAAAAGCAGTAAACACACCCGCAACGCGGCTCGCATGTGAGTGGAAATCGCAGTCTTTCCTGACGGCAGGCAAACAACAGAATTCACTGGCCTACGCACAATGCGCATGAGCCAACAATGAACACAGCATGCTACTGCTCCATGCTCACGATACGGTCTGCTCTCAGAATAAGACAGTACGTACGTACAGTATGAAGCGAGACAGCGCCCGGGCATGACTTCTCTGACAGGTGCAACAGGCACATATTGTCTCTGCGAGAAGAGATAAGAGATCGCATGACGTACGGGCTTTTATAAAATGTTTGGAATGGAAATGTGGATTGTGACCCTATAATGAAATGTTTATTAAACTTTTCTAGATGAATAATACTAACACCATTAATTAAATTGTAAGAGTCATTTCATTTATTTTATTATTATGAAATTCAATAAACTAGTACATTGATCAGGGTCTGCAGTGCCCCAAGGAGCTGCCACTGACATAAGGAGAGATACAACTGATACTGTATAAGTGAAGAAAGAGCAGTGCCTGTGAGTTTTGTAAAGAAAGTGTTTAATGAGAGCAAATAAAAATATTAACTATCGTACTGTCAAGAGATAATTCAGACTATTAAGTTATTAAAACGTAAAATAATATAGTTATTTTTAAAAACTTGAATGATGTAGTGTAGATCAGGTTTTTTACTTAGATTCATATTGACTCAAAACATTTTTCTAGGGATAACTGAGTATTTTTGTTACTCAGTGTTCATGTATGAGTATGTTACTCGGAGTTCGTGCGATTTCGGTAAATGAGTTACATGAAAAATACCACTTAAAAGATAGTTGGAGTATCTTGAGAGAAAGAAGAGGATAAGATAAATGAATAAGGACCAGAAGACATAACATGAAATTAAAATTACATTAATTTAGAGAGACAGTTTACATATACTGTAGTTTCTTACCACAGAGATCATTTATGTGCAAAAATCAAATTTTCATCTGCCTCTCAGAGATATTACGTTGAAAATATGGAAAAACCCAAATTTTCAATACTTAGAAGAGCGTAATTTCTAAATGGTATGCTTACTTACCACTGGTATTTTACATAAAATAACTACCTATACAATTATGTATAAACGAGCAGAAAAAGTAAGGATGTGACTCTATTCCTTCTTTGAACTAGTGGTGCTACAACAACACATTTTCCCGCATCCCTAAAATGACGTAAAATTATAATTCCGGAAATTCTATCCATTTTAACTGAGTTAAGATATCACTTGTGACACACTAATGACGAATCGTAGCGCATTAAACGCGGAAGTTATACATCAAAACCATTTCGACAATCAAAAACATCCTTCCATTCACACAGAAACACCGCCCACAGTGAGAAGTTATTTTGAAAATGCCACTTCGCGACATTCCCTTTGTTAGAATGCAACATCGTAACTCTTGAAAGATTTTAGCAAAAGACGTACGGTAAATTCGAATCTGCAATTTAGAAAATTTTCAAAATTATGCTAAACTAATAAGTAAAAAAATCTACAATCCTTTTTTATAGAACTGATTTTTCAGAATAGATTTTAATTTAACAAAGAATCCCAATAAATATTGTTCTTAGTAGCAAAAATTCTGCCCTTCCTAGCAGCTAAAATAATAAAACTAATAACACTAATATTAACTATGTATGTAAATAATGTAGACTAAAACAAGTTTTTCCTGAATTTTAGTTTTATCTGTCATTCATTTTTGTAAGAAATACATTTCACCGTGATAAATCTTGCCGCAACCGCTCATTTCTCATCCAACATGAGCTACCTCCCCTGGAGCTCTTTCCTCACGAAGTTGAGAGCTCTTGTCTGCGTCTACTACGAAACAGGTCAGTTGTGTAATCACACGCGAGAGGTCGGTGCAAACTGGAAAAGTGCGGTAAAGTTGTAATTTTTCGGAATTTTCGAATAAGAAAATTGATTTATCGATACAAATAGGCCCAAATTAAATAACGGCAATTTCCGAGAACGAAAAACCAAAAATGAGGCAATGACATGTGAATTTGATTCACAAAACAACTCTTAAATCTCTTCTTTACATAAATTAAATATAAAGTGGTACAGTAATTTAAATATAAAGTGACATGCGTTTTATATTTAATAATTATGCAAATGGACGATATTCACAATGAAAAAGTAACAAACTTTCCTTGGTAAGGAAATAAAATATCTCCAATAAAATAGACTTTTACACTGAGAAAAGCATTGATAGTACTGGGAATGTCTTGCTCCCACCGAATGTCATTTGATCTTGAGGAAACAACCCTCTACAACGCCAGCCTCGGCGCCCGCGCGCTCGCTGCTCGGCTTGCGAGGGCTGCCCAAGTTCTCTGTAGAAACGAAAAATAGTAAGAAAATGTTGGTAAATTTGGAAATTTTGAAATTAATTGGCAGTATGTATCGGCAGCCAAAATGTACATCGTGGTATCAGAAGGGCATGTAAATTCAATGAAAACAATATGAGGGCATGTTTCGACATGTCACAT